ATATTATGTAATAATAAACAAACGTAATTATAGGTCCAGATTATTATGTTAACAGTAATAATTAAATCGTATTTTTTACTCGAGCTCGAAAAATTTTTCTTAACACAAAAACAATTGAATTTTACAACATATTTCGCAACATACTAATATTGACTTATTACATTTTAAAACACTCATTAACTTTGTTTTTGATTCTAATATTTTTATATTTATTGATATCTTTTATAAACAACTTTTTGGTGGCCCTATGGGATGTAGTCGTTCACTCATTCTAAGTATCTACAGATTGAACCAAATTAAAACGGAACATACAATTTAATACATGTCTGTTTGAACTGCATTTGATATATAAAACTTGGACAAAAATAAATCCATACCTGGGTATAGACATTGTATAAAATATCGTTCAACTATCTGTCTCACAACAATGTTGTTTGCGTAAGACGGGTTTGTCTAAGGAAACGATAATAGTTCAGGAAATTAAGCTCGAAAAAAGTTAAAACCTCGCAATTGTTTCGTCCTGCATATATCCAGTTGAAATTTTAACAGAAGGTAGGTGATAGCCCAAGGATCAAAATCTATATCGAACCGAAGTGCGCTGAAGGGTTTTAGGGGTGAAAACTACCCCTAATTGTCAAAAATTTTAAAATAATATATTAAACCTGAATATGGGTAAGATTTGGTTTGAATTAGTTACATAATAATTATTTTATACTTTTGAATAGAGTTCCATCATATTTCAACCCTTAAAAAGCAACCCTTGTTAGAGATTAATGTAAAAAAATTACTAATTCTAAAAAAATGATTTCGCCTTGGATCGATTTGGATAAAAATTTGGATTTAAGCTCAATTAACCCGCTGCTTTATAGTTTATGTCATGTCGACGAACCCTGATTGTTCTTAGGGGTGAAAACTACCCCTAATTGTCAAAAATTATAAAATAACATATTAAACCTGAATATGGGTAAAATTTGGTTTGAATTAATTAAATAATGATAGTTTTGTGCTTTTGAATAAAGTTCCATCATATTTCAGCCCTTAAAAAGCGACCCTTATTAGAGATTAATATAAAAAAAATTAGTAATGCGAAGAAAATGATTTCACCTTAGAACGATTTGCATAAAAATTTGGAATTAAGCTCAACTCACCCTCTGCTTTATAGTTTATTTCATGCCGATGAACCCTGATTGTTCTTAGGGGTGAAAATTACCCCTAATTTTCAAAAATTGTAAAATAATATTATACATCTTAAGATGAGTGACATTTGGTTAGGATTAGTAAAATAGTGATTTTTATATACTTTAAAATACAAATTCATACATTTTCAACCCTTAAAAATCAATTGTTATGAGTGCTATCGGTGAAAACAATTTTTTGCCAAAATTTTGCAACTTTTCAACTTTTGAAAATCACCCTTTACAACATTGCAGTTTTTATAAACAAATTTATAATATATAAATTGAAAAAAGTAGAATTAAATACAAAAAAATTTTTATCAACATAAAAAGGCACCATATATTCTTATACATTTACATAAATAGTTGAAAATATTTACATTTAAAGGTAAAACAATTATAATATTAATCTTATTCGTCATCAATTACATCTTCATCGTGATCTATATCTTCCTCATCTTCAATTATTGGTGAACTATTATTGCACCCTTCACCTGAGCACCCAGAACAAGTAGAGTTACAGTATAAACCAACTTTTCTGCACCCACATAAAACACCGCATCCTTTTTTTGCATTGGCAAAAAATAATTTTCAAAAGTTTATCGAGTGCAGGTTGTTTGTTCATTTGTTCATGCGTACGGGTAATAACAAACCATCTTTGTAATACCATCCCCAATCTGTTGCTCTGATATTTTCATTGCCAAGCCATAGACATATGAGCAGATGTTTTATTCTGTTGTATGTGATTTTAAAATTAGAACGCTTAAAATTTCGAATGTATAACGCCCCACTAGCTAATATACCGGTTTTGTAGATTATTATGCTCCGAAATGTACTGTACTATACTAATGGAATTTTCCGGAAAAAATTCACTGTTTTTTTTTAACGTAATTCCTTTAATTTTTAACGATAGAGTGTTTCTTCAAAAACGATTTGTTGAGGTTTTTAAGAGCTACAAGGATCTGTGAATTAAATCTTTTTGAAACCCTTGGTTTTTAAATGGGGTGAGTATAAAGGGCGCGAAAAAGATGGTGCTTGATCGTAAATCGATGCTTTAAACGGCTATATCTCGCCAAATATTCATTGTACAACAAATCTAAATAAAGGATAATTTTAGTCATTAAAAAAGCTACAATTTGGTAATTTCTATTTTTTCATATATTCAATATTTTCGGGCATATTTAAAAAAAGAAGGGTAAAAAATATGAAATTGTAAATCGTTTCTCGCTTTAAGCTGTACTTTTTCTAACACAAAGCATTTTAAATGGGTCAAACTTCTTGGACGTATTAACAATACATGTACAAAGGGAATTGCAGAAGGGTGAAGATCGATTTTAATTATGGAGGTGGTTAGGGGGTTGTTTTCATCGGTTTTTTCGTAAAAAATGAGGTATTGACCTTATTTTCATTATAACTCACTCAATTTTTGAGCTAGAGTCTTTTTTATGATATATCTATTTATGCTCTTTAAAAAAGGTTTTGTGAGTTTTCCAAAAATGCATCATTTTCCCGATACTTATTTGACTTTGACTCTTTCAAATTTGGCATTTGAAGAAAACCGCTGAACATTGATAAGCCGTATTTTGGTTCCTATTATATCGCAAAAACATTTTAAAAATGAATTGTATTTGTCTTTTTAAAAGCTACAAATTTGTTCTCTACAATTTTTTTGATAAAATTCACCATTTTCGAGTTATTCGCGAAAAATCGATTGAAAACGTGGATTTTTTTCGACTAGAAGTTGTTACTTTCAATCGCGAATAACTTGAAAAATATCATTTTATAAAAAAAAATGTATAGCACATTTTTTGTTTTAGAATCACTTTTTTAATCGAAACCTGTAGTTAAAACGTAAAAAAAAATTTTCACCCCAGAGATGGGGTGGCAACCACCCCCTAGGCTTTGGCGCACTTTGGTTCGATATATATTTTGATCCTTAGGCTATTACCTACCTTCTGTTAAATTTCAAGTCAATCCACGAGGCACGAAAAAATTGCGAGGTGAAATACTTCATTTCCTGGACTATAACTGTTTGACAGCATAAATCGTAGATTTATGTGTAGCTTTCAATTTTTATGAGTTCAGAATCCAGCAGCCCGCTGAAATATGGGATTTTTATAACATAATTATTTGACAATCTTTTGTTGGCCAACCACTTACAGCAGAATTGAGCCGAAATACATTATATTCCTATGTTCCGAATTTATTTCGTTCAATCTGTATGTCATGGACGATGTTATCAGTGATTGTATCAACAATTGCACTTTTTTCATTCCGTTTATTAAAAGATATGTAGATGATTTAGATTTGGCACTTCCCAAACACAAAATTCTTGAAACAGTCAACATTTTCAACAATCATAATCATACAGACTGACCAAATTGTATAAAACTGATACAATTTACTGGACCAAAGTAGCCTAGATTTCACCTTAAAGCGTTTAAAAGCCCCTATATAAAGCGTCACTTATATTTTAGTGAAAGAGGTTAGATGCTTTAGAACGCTTTTGTAATTTGTATTGTCCAGTTTAACGTATTTAAGAATCGAAATCAAAAAGTATATTTTAATGTGCACGGTGTAAAACTATAATTGTTTAGGTAGTGAATTAGATCCACGAAAAACGTTTAACTTTTCAAGCTTACATTTTAACCTTTAGAGTTTTAATGGTAGTTATAAGTTAATTTATACATGAATTATTAGTATAAGAATAGTATCAATACGACCGAAAAAAACCTATACGAAAATTGTCTATTTTCATAAAATTTTACATTCTGTCCATCTATAGTATAGAACTTTTCATATAAAAATGATTGCACGTCATTAAAGATTTACGACGTCAGAACCCCGCAGCGTTGCTAAAACATCGGAATAGTTAGTGAGGAATTTTTAAAATGTCAACCATTTGTTAAACTAATATATTAACAGTAAATACACTTAAAAACAAAAAGACAGTCAAGATTAGATTCCTCATGTCTCTATTAACATCTTTATTCAACGTCTGTTTTGCTTGCAATTCTTAGAAGGCACAGATTAAAGCAAAAATCAATTTGGTTTCGAAAATTAGTTTAAGGATTGTAATATCAGATGTCGCTATTTGCGTCTATACGAAGCCATCTTAGAGTTGCTTCTTAAGACAGAAAAGATTAATTTCACGTTCAGAACGCCTGTGAATAGCTGTTCTGATGAGCCCTACTAGGGCGAAATACGTATAAGCAGATACACAGACGCATTGTACATGAAATCAAATCTTGACTGTAGTTTTGTTTTTATTCGGATATACTCTGTATGAGTACAAGAGTCCATTTCGCTAAGGATTTTTGCTTAGTTGAGGAGATATGTCGTGGAATGCAAATTTTAGATTCCCTATGTCTCTATTAACATCTTTATCAACGTCTGTTTTGCCTTGCAATTCTTAGAAGGCACAGATTAAAGCAAAAATCTGAATTTGGTTTCGAAAATTAGTTTACGGATTCTAAATACACTTAGTTTTAAGACTACTGCAATACACTAAAATACATAAGAAAACATTTTATATTTTGTGGAATATTAGACTTAAAGAGTTATTTCATAAAATTTATATTATTAGTAATAACAAATGTTTTTGGTTATTTATTCAATAAAACTCTAAAATTCCCAATATAATGATGATTACATTTTTCTGATTATTATAACATGTTGACGCTTATGAAAGATCGAGCAGTTCCGTATGGGTTTCGCATTATTAGCTGTGTTAGGAAAATTTGAACTCTAAGGTTGACGTTCTGGAAATTTTAAATATATGTGACATCACTTTATATAAATTGTGACTTGCAACGTTTTTACTTTGAAAAATGGTATAGTACAGATCGTACTAAAATTAAAAATTACACTGTAACTGCTTAGTATAGAATTAAAAAACTACTTAAATGTTTCAATGACAGGTAAATAATTATCTAAACTTCAGTTCCGATGTGACATTTTTAAATTTCGAAAAGATAAAATTTTTGTAAAATGAAGCCTACTAAAATGCATGATTTAGTAAAGCCTCTCTGTTGGTTATTGGGAAAATGGCGATCTCTTAATATTAAACTAAATCGTAAGTTACATCTGCCATATTACTGCCCTCAGTTTAACGAAGATAAACCAGATACGTATTCTGAACTATTAACATTTTCTGAATGTGGTATACCTTCAGTAAAATACGAAGCAACTACATGGAACTCCAAAAATCTTTTTCCTCACAAACTGGAAGTTGGTCATTTTATGGTTCATCCGGATAAAAAACATATTTCACTTTTAGCTGCACACAATAATGGAATGGCTGCTGTTGAACAAGGAAGTATAAAAACGAATTGTCTAGAACTTTGTACGTTAAATGTGGCGAATGCAGATATTATGCATAAACCCATGCTTGCGTATTCTAGATCATATTCCATAAATAACCAAGGGCAACTAGTATATAAACTGAAAATGAGAACGAAAGATGAATGCGAGTTAAAAGAATATGTACGAGTAATGTATGAAAAAATTTAGTCAGAAAACAGGTTTTTAAGTTGTGTTTATATTTGCAGTAAAATTTATTATTGTAAATATGTTTTATCATTATTAATATTTATAATAAAAGATAAATAGGTACAACAAATTGATGATAAAATATGAATTCCCATCAATATCAGAATTTCGAAAAATGCTTTTATTGCTTCTTCATGCAAACACAGTTCAACACCATTCTGTGCACCGTATATATTTGACTGCTGTACAATTACTGCCGACATTGCACATAAGAAATTAATAAATAATTTCATGGGTGAAGATACGTCTATTTCAACTCTAGTTCCAAAAGGTCTGTCAAAATTAAGTGTAGACATTAGCATATGACTTTGGCTATTTTTGGTGAAAACGAAATCCTCACTTTCCTCTGAAGAAGAGCTACTTGTATCATCATTTTCAAAATTGGCGTATTCATATCGTTTTTCTGTTATATTTTCGGGCAGAATATTTGAATCAACTATACTGTCATCATAGTCATAATTACTAATATTTGGAGCTACGCTTGTAGTTTCATTTTCTCTACTAGTTGTTGTAGAACCACAAGTAACTACGGTTGCTAAGTGGTGTACTTGTACTTGTTGAAATAGTTCTATCATCTTTAGTATCACTATCCCCTCCTATATCTGAATAAACTGCCTGTTTGTCGAGAATTTCTCTAAAAAGTTAAATCACATCATCATCATCCAACTTTTGCAATTTATCATAATATGTGTATTTAGATTTCATTAGGTATTAAAACAGCAGGAAAACAAATATTTTGTGATATGATTTTATCACTAAAAATTTGAATTTTCAAATAGGCGGAAGTTACCTTAAAAATATATTTTTAAAGTTTTTTGACAAAATTATTATTGTCTACAATTTTGAAAAACAATTTATGAAAGTAGAATTATCAAAAAACTTTGCGGAGCAGATGAATTTTTTTTAATTTGAGGGTTTTTTTGCTGTTTTGTGAAATTTTCTCTTTCAGGATCAAATACATAAAAATAATAAAATTTTATTAAAAGTACATACCTTATTAATAAGGAAAATTCGCAACCAAACCAAAATTTAACAATTATTCTTGCAACTGTCTTGAAGTGGTTAAATATGTGGTCTCTTATTACACTTTGTCGATTGTAAGCTCTGATGTCATATGTATTGACTAAGCACTCATATATTTGGATATAGATCATTTACAACACATGACTGTCGCGATAAAATTCATTTAACATAAGGAATATAGACATTGTCATCTGTAAAGTATGTGGTTACATATTTAGCCAGAAAACGTTTGTGGTAATGTTAACAAATTTTGTGTCATCGTTAAAGAGTTAGGACAACCTAGGAATTTCTAGGATTCTGATGGGGTATTGGTGCGTCTCAAATTGCCTCTCCTACTCAAATCTCAACCATACTTTTACGTTGGTCAACCCTGTTATTCCAAACGAGGCTCTGACAACCGAGTATTAGAGGAATAACTGTAACAACTGGAATTAAGAACAGGAAAGTAGAGGAAAAAGAACAACAAACAACCTAATATAGTAACATATTATAACATTCGTTTCATGGCAAAAGATGGAAAACTCTACAAACTAGAACAGGAATTGGGGAACATAAATTGGGACATAATGGAACTATCAGAATTTAACAGAAGAGGAGAATGGTGTGTGGACTGAAAACTATACATACGCTGAAGTAGGTTTCTTAATAAATAAAAAGAAGAAATCACTAATTCAAATAATTAATAGCATTTTGGACAGGGTTATATACATAATCTTCAATCTAAATTTACAAACCGGAATAAAGATTGTGCGTTTGTGAGTTTTGTTCCAACTGAAAAAGCAATCGATGATAAAATATATACTTTTTACTAAGACCTTAAAAAGGTACAAACGACAACAAAAACCTAAAATAATAATAATATTACAGGATCCAACTTGTAAATAGAATACATATTGGAGACGGCTATCGCCGTATTCCCGTTCTCCTCCGCCAATCCTCCCGGTCCAAGGCATGCTCCTCCTCCAAACCTCTCGATTCCATCGCTCTTTTAATTCCTTTATTCCATGAGCGTCTAGGCCTAATTCTTTTTCTTCTCCCAGGGGGCTTCCATCTGTGAAGTTTTTGGGGCCAACGTTCGTCAGGCATTCTTAATAGGTGTCCAAACCATTTTAAACCTCTTCTTTCTATTCTGTCAATAATCGTTTCTGTAGCATTCATGTTATTTCTTATAGATTCGTTGGTTTTCCTTTCCAGCCTTGACATTCTAGCTCTTCTTCTTAAATAATCCATTTCAACTGCCAACAATCTTCTATTCAGGTCAGCAGATATTCTCTGTATAGACGCTTTATCATAAATTCTAGATCATAAGAATCTTGAGCTAGGACGACTTGGTTATCTGCAAAGTTTAGGGAGAATAGTACTTTATTTTATGTGGGGATTTCCTGGAAGTGGTTTTTCCAATTTTGGAGGGCTGTCTAAATATATAAATTAAACTATTAAAGTAAGTAGTGTTATCCCTGTATACTCCTGTCATTATTCCTAAAAGGTAATGCCGAGTTGTTATAAAGCTTGCCACAATTTAAGTCTATAAGTCATAATTTAAGTAATAATAATACTGGTAGATTTTAAAGCCAAGATTGAAAAAAATATTAAAGACTCTCAAAACAAGATCAAAATTTTGGATTCGTCACAAGAAAAAGAAGAGGAGAAAAAGTTATGGAATTTCTGGAATAAAAAAACATGTATGCGATGAATATCTTTTACACAAAAAAACTTAACAGAAAGTAAATATGGATTATCTAATTGAACTACCAAAAATGAAATAGACTATTTTCTCCCAAACAACAAAAGAATATTTTATTCACAACAATAAACAATCCACCAACTGATAGTGATCATTATTTAGTTGGGACGAAAATAAATATTAAGAAAGAATAGAAAAGGATCTTAAAAAAACAACGCCGATAGATGCCTTCTAAGTAGAGAAAAACGGAAAGAATTTCGAAAGATCTTAACAAATAAGTTCGAAGCAGATCCTCTACATAATCAGGACCAAATTGACGAAGTTAACAAAAATATAAATAAAAACTTTCTCGAAGCCCGACTAGAGGTCGCAAAAAAACTAGAATTAGAAGAAAACAAAATAAGCAACGAAACTAAGCAACTAATGAAGAAAAGAAGATGAACACTAGCGAAAAACAAACGCCATTCTCAAAAATATGTGAAACTAAATAAACCGATTTGAAAAGAACTAAAATGTGACATAGAAAATGGAATTTCAAAAACAAAAGTCAAAGATATCAACAAAAATTGACAAACTGAAATGTTGCTTCGCACGCCACACTGCTAGACAAAAAGACCAACATTGAACCGACATAATACAACATCGGAGGCCGTAAAACGGTATGCAAACAAGAGAAAGACCACAGATGAGATGGATAGATGACTTCAAAAAAATGTCCAAATGTCCAAAAAATAGTCGATAGAAGGCTAAGAAGAAGAAGAAGGATTTTCAATATGTTTGCTTTTTCGATTGTGTCGTAAAATCTAGGGATGGTTTGAAAGGATTATCTTAGAGAAAAAAAATCTGGCGTGAGAAGGGGTGCAACGTTACTATTTATTCCCAGTAAAACGTTTGCAAATAAAAACAAAAGCAGTACGGATCTCAATAACCGAAAGCTTTTTCGGTTATTACTTAGCTAGTAAATGCTAAGAATGATAAGATTCAATGGTGAGAAAAAATTACAACGGCGTGAGCTATTTCGATATTTATACTATTAAGCATGGACTACAATCATGGATAAGTAAGCATGAGATAGATAAGCTAATCAATGGCGGATACATGGGAAGGGAAAATGGGAAAATTGTAAATCCAGTTGAAAAAATCATTTAACTATCTGTGCGTCAAAATGTAGGGCCAATATTAAAAAAATTTAAGAATTAAACCACAGGTTACAATACCGCACCAGCCTATTCTTTTAGCTCTTACTGTTTACTTTGTAACGAAGATATTTTGCCTACCACATGGGGTATTAATATAAAGGGTAGAAAATTGGGGACAGAAATTATGGGGGTGGAGATTGGGCAAGTAAAATAAATCGAAACATATGCGAAAGGCACTCAGGGTTTGTTAGGAGAGTTGGGGTCGTGGATAAGTAAATGGCAGAGGGGATTGGGGCAACTACAAAAATTTGAAACAAAGGGTCATGAATCTCTTGGGACAAACAAAACAAAAAGAAACAGGGAACACCTCTAGTAATTTAAAATAGGACGCTACTTCGAGGTGCCTAATTATACTTATTACAACAACTAGATGTAACTAAGGAAATAATTATTAGAAAAACATATCTTTTTCAAATAAAACTAAAAAAAAACATAATGTTATTTTTTAGTTTTTAAACAACATTTATTGTGTCTTACCACAAACAGTTACAAAACGTAGATAACACAAGAATACTCAAAAAAGACAATACAGAAACATTACCTCAATAGTCGCAAAATATAAAAATACAAAAAAAACTTGCATGTTATCCGTTTACATACTCTAGGAGTTGGAGATACTACAAAAACTTACAAATGTTACCGCACAGAGGTTAACCTTTTTTTTAAACAAACAAAACAAATAAGTATCGAAAATAATAAAGCGAAGTGTCTTATGTTAACATTAAATTTAAAACAGAAAAATTTAAACTGACAGCTAAACTCAAAACCTAAAATTTACAATTTTCAAATGTTACAATTTTTTAAATTTTAACGAAAGCAATTATTATTACAAAAAAATGTCTGTCTTTACTTTAAAATTTGATCACAAAAAAAGTTACCTGAGTTTCACAAAAATTACACTTGAGCTGTAAACTGGACTTCTTAAAAACTCAAACAATAGCTGGGAATCTCTGACAAACGAACAAAAAGGAAATTAGGTCACTGGAACACAAACCTTGGAAACTAAACTGGACTTGGCGGCTTCTTAAAAACAGGAATAGGTGCAACTGTATACAATGGCAACATTTCAAAACTCACTTAAAACTGTAACTGAACCATTAAACTGCTACTGTATTTTACATATTCTTCATTAAAAAAGATGAACAACGAGGAACATTT